TTAATGACCTAAGGGGGAAGAGAGTGTGTGTGTGTGTGTGTGTGTGTATGTCGGTGGTGTGTACATACAACTAATCCAATGACAATAAAAACATGGGTAACACATTCTAAAATGCTCATTCCACTTAACTGGACCATCCTTATTACCTGCCCCTGTAAGATTTACATGTGTGGACATTGGCCTCTAATCTCTAAGTGAGTAAATCGTATCCATTCCAGGTAATATCAGAGGGTAGGGTAAACCAATATCTTTCTCTCATCAAAAAAGATGAGATAAATGTACGAACAGTAGGGTTGCGTACACTTTCCATCTCAAAACTTTGTAGCTCAGTGGACCTAGGTAATAATCGCCAATGAAAACCCCGGGTGAGAATTTGGTGCAGAGCTTTCCAATGACTTGACAGGTCAGACTGAAGGTGGCCTTTCTAGACTAAAGTCAGGATTTCCCCGCCCAGAATAGACTGCAAAAGCCTCGTTCTGCATGTCTCTTCGTGTTACGGATAACTGCCATCCTTCAGTCATTAAAACTCTCAAAAGAGAGTGTTGGATTTTTGTTTTAAATTTTCAGTTCTAAAGGGCTCCAGAGAAGATGCAATGTCTGCCCAGACAGGCCCTGCTTCGGCTCCTCCTCTCTCACCCCTGTGTTCTAAGGCTCCTCTGCTGTCTTCCTCCCAGGATGCTGTTTTAGAAGATTTTATTTGATTTGTGTGTGTGTGTCTGGCTGGCTGGCTTTGTGTGTATCCAGTTGCCCGTGGAGGCCGGAAGAAGTACTCAAATTTCCTGGAATTGGACTTACAGGTGACTGTGAGCTGCCTATCGTGGGAACCAGACTTAGGCCCTGTGTAAGAGGAATCTGTGCTGGTAACCGTGAGCTCTCTCCAGCCTCGGCGTGCTGTTTAAAGCAGCTTTGCAGATGACGCACGCTCTCAGTTTTCACTCAGCCAAGGATATCTTTGTTTCACCCTCATTCCTATAGGCATTTTTATAGTGTGTGGTATTTGGGACTGACAGTTTTTTTTTTTTTTTTCCTCTGAGTACTTTAAATGTGCCACTTCCTTCCAGCTTCTCTAGTTTCCAAAGGGAAAGTCACAGTCACTTGATTTGTCTCCCTGTAGAGCCTGCCTTCTTTTCTTGGGCTGCTTTTAAGAGCACTTTCTCTTTAGTTCCCAGCCTTTAGATCTTCGTTTTGAGCATCTGCAGGTAGCTTTTTTTTTTTTTTTTTTTTGCTTTATCCTCTTTAGGGTTTTCTGAGTCTAGATTTTTATTTTTGCCATGCTTCCTCCATTTTCAGCTATTGAAGACATTATTTCTTCAAATGTCTTCCAGTGCTGGCTTCTTTCCTCATGAGATTCAAGTAACAGGAGAGTCAGATTTCTAGACTGTGTCCCAAGTCCCCGGGCTCAGTCATTTGCTCCTTGTTCAGAAGGGATGCTTCCTATTCATCTGTCTTCAGATTGTCCAGTTCTTCCCCTTGTCACCCTCGTCTGCTTTTCCCGCTTACCAGCTGATGTGTTTTGCTTTGTTTTAATGTGTTGTTATAATTTTTATTTGTAAAATTCCCTTTTGGTTTTTTTTAATCTCCTGTTTCTTTGCTGAGATTTTCTGCTTTTCCATTTGTTTCCAGTGTGTTTGTGATCACTTGTTAGAATGTACGCGGTGTGTTACATTTTCATCACACAGTTCCAATACCTGTGCATCAGCCACATTAGTATCTCTCTGGTCGCTGTCTTCCCCACTTGTGGAGATTTTCCTGTTTCTCTATATGACAACTAATTTCAGTTTCTCCTGGCATTTTGTTTGTTTTGTCTGATACAAGGACCTTAAGTAAACTCTGGAGAGAATACTTACATTTTTGCCTTAGCAGCAAATGACCTAATAGGCATGTTCCTCCTACTTGGTTGTGGGCTATGTTGCTGGAAGTCAGGCTGTGCACTTTCCAAATGTCTGAGTTCATTCTCACCCTCTCTGGTGTCAACTAGGACATGTGCACACATGTGCAGTGTGGGGATCCACCTCAGAAGAGCAGTGCACATCCGTCTGCTTCTGTCTCTTCAGCATGGAAGCAGCCCCTTTACAGTGCCCTAAGGATCTTAAGAGGCAAAGGAAAATTTGTAAGCTCACCACCATTTTGTTAATAGTTTCAGTTCTGGTCTTCTTCCCCAAGGGGTATATTCAAATAACTTTTCAGAGCACTAGAGTGGCTGGCACAGATGTTGCAGCCAACTGTGTACCGCTTTGGTGGATGAGCCAGCATGAGGCATGGTTTCTGCCTCTGACCTGCTCAGGAATCTCACATTAACAAAACTAAGCAGCATCAGTACTGAGACACCTAGGGGGTGGAGAGACGCCTTTCTGTATCCTTTCGCAAAAGACACGGATTCAGTTCCTGGTACCTCCATGATGGCTCTCCACCTTTTGTAACTCCAGCTCCAGGGGATCTGACTGTCCAGCTCTAGGAGACTCTGAGGCATCAGGCAAAGGCATGAATACACACACACACACACACACACACACACACACACACACACACACAGCAAAAATAATGATAAATAATTTTTTAAACTGCTAAGGTTTAAAAAGCCAGATATTATATGCCTTCCTATATGGTGCCACTAGAGTGCATGTCACCAAATTGAGGTTGTTTTGCCAAAACCATCCCTACTGCACCTAACCAACCCTCAAAATCTGACCAGTTTACAGAAAAGTTAGGATTAGAGGAATATGTCCACAACATTATACAGAGGCAAATTCCCAGATCCAGAGTGTGGGAAAATCTTCAGGACCCCAGTTATCCATAAGTAGTTCCAAGGTAAAACATGGAGAAAAGGAGAACTTGCAAACTGAAAGATTTCAGGAATAAACTAAACCAGTACCATGTGTAGACTGTTTTTTTCTGACTCTACATAAAGCCGTTGTTTAAGGACTATTGAGATAATTGATATCTTGAATTGTTATGTGATATTAGATGATATTAAGGCATCACTGCTAATTTTTAAGGTCTGAAAATAGTAGTCGTTACTTTTTTATCTGTATTTTTTAAAAGTACGTATTATAGTCTTTAAAGATTAGATTAAATGATATCTGTAGTCTGCTGTTGAATACAGGGTAGTTGGGAGATTGTATATATATATATGCCCGAGACTATATTTGTCCCACAGATGACAGCCTCCTGCCTATCCCCAAGTGAGGCAGGAAGCGTTATCCAGGCTGTTGTCTGCTCATAGAGCCTCTCAGAGCCCCACAGAGCAGGCCAGTGTCTATTGTCTGTCTACATCCAGGTCAGCCTGCCTTTCCTTTTGTCTCCTCAGTCAGCCCATGAGTAAACCTGGAGAAATCAGACCTCTTCTATATATAGACTGTGGGGTCTGAGAATCGCAGTGGGGGACACACACACATTTAGTGCTCCAAAGCAATGTCCTTGAGTCTCCTTACAGACTCCCATAGAACCTACTGCCTTGGAAGTATACCTGGTGTGTCAAGGCTGTGCTGGGTCACTGTCTTCCCTCTGTCCTTGGCCTTTTTTAAATAGCGCATCATCAGAGGGGACAGCCCATTTCTCCCTGCACCTGTACGCCCACTGCTTCATTCTTCTTTGTGCTCAGTGCTGGTTCCTCTGCTTCACTGTGACAGTCAGGAGAAGACGTGGTATTGTGTGGCCCACAGCCACGTTCCCAGTGCCAAACATGTTTTCAGGTTCGGCCTTAGCATGTGTTAAACAGGCTTCTCAGGCTTCATCTTATCCTCTGTTGTCATGGCACCCACCGACTGTTAGCTCTTTGTGAAGGAGGCCTCAGTTGCACTTATTCATAGTGCCAACCAGAGTGCTTAATTTAGAGGCAGTAGTCAGTAAGTGATTTTTGAATGACCGAGTCCAGTAACTAATCAAACGGCTAAACGGAAAAGACAGGAAGATTTGGGCAATAGTCCCTCTCACTGCCATCAGAATAAATTCTTAACAGAGATGTCTTCTTCATCCTCTTGTGTTTTCACATGTGCTTGCAGAGCAGATACGGAGCGTGGCTGGCACATTAGATCCAGTTCCTACTGTTCTTCAGATTCTCATCCTACTTTTTCAAGTCTCCATTCCAGACACTATGTGAGGTGCTGCAGTGGATGCCGAGATCTGTCAGCTGGAAACCCTGGCATCCTTGGCTCAAGGGAGATGAGAATCTTCCTGCACATTAACAACAGTGTAGAGCTGGGAGTGCTCAGGGAGCCAGGGATGGGGAGACCAACTCTCTCAAGGCCTGTCATAGAGGTTGTTGAATAAGATGAGCCACAGAGGATGGGTTCTCCTTAAAATGTAGTCCCATAGGACATGTCATGGTGAGGACCGAAAGCCATATTGTGCTATGTCCAGGACATATGAACCAGTTTTACTGA